ACCTGTCCAGGGGACGCCCGTGACCTCGCGGCTCCACTCACTCCAGGAGCCGAGTCCAAACTCCTCCTGGGCCCGCAGCTGCACCCTGTGCCTGGAGCCGCGCCAGGCGTCGTGGATGATGCAGTGGTACTGGGAGCTCCTGACCTGGGGGAGGCACAGCCGCTGCCAACGCTGACAGCCCTCCCCGATGGGCCACCCTGCCACCCTCCTGCCCACCAGCTGTCAAGGGACTCTGTAAATGAGACGTCCAGGCCGCACGGGGCGCTGCCAGGGGGCCCTGGAAGTCCCTCCTTGTCCTCCACGTCCTTTCTGTGACCCTCCCGTGTCCGCCGCGCCTCTGCTCAGAGGCAGCGGGCGAACTCACCATCCACGTGGTGAAGGCCTTCGAGGGCTCGGCCCGGTACCGGAGTTCGAACTGCAGCCTGTAGAAGTCCGAGTTCCAGGACACGGGGTCCTCCCAGGTGACGTTGAGCCAGCGGGGGTTCTCGGCCACAGCAGTGACCAGGATGTTGGTGGGCGGGTCAGGCTGCACTGTGACAGGGAACGTGGCCTCCGTGGGGCGGCAGGAGCCCCTGCCCCAGACCAGGCCGCCCCATGCCCATCTTTTTATTTATTTGCCCTCCTCCCCATGCTGCGGATCAAACCCAGAGCCCCGCACACACTAGGCAAGCGCTCTGCACTAAGCCACACGCTCAGCCCTGCACACGCATCCGTCAATGCCCAAAAGGGCTCCATCAAGCCAAACCCGTCAACCGCTCCTTCTGTGCCCCCCCAAGGAATGGACGAGAAATATTAAGTCAAGGGCCGGGCCGAGCGGTGCAAGGCTGCAATCCCAGCGACGTGGGAGGCTGAAGCAGGAGGATCAAGTGTTGGAGGCCAGCCTCAGCCATTTAGTGAGGCCTTAAGCAACTTGGCCGGACCCTGTCTCAAAATTTTAAAAAAGGTCTGGGGTGGTGGCTCAGTGATTAAGCACCCCTAGGTTCAAAAAGCACCAAAAAGAAAAGAAATATTATATCAAAAGAGAAAAAAAAAACCCTTGTGGGGCTGGGGAGAGGGGAGCTCACTTACGGATTCCATATCCCTCAAAGGCTTCGGGGTCGCTGGCCCTGCCCCCGGCACTGCTGGCCGCGCACAAGGACACTACGTGGAAGGACTTGTCCCCCTCTGGGATCTCCAGCTGGCAGGAGAACTTCTGCGAGTCCTGAGAATACTGGCAGGGCACCCGGAAGTCTTCCGCTGGCACTTTCTC